GCCCCTGGTCTCATCTACAGTCAAAGATGCACGTTAAAACAAATTGTGTTGGTCTTTTCCACTGGGAGTGCAAACCTGCTTTACCTGCTGCTGTTGTGCTTGCTCCAAAGATGGGGCGCTCATGTTTCAACAGGTCCCTTTGGTGGAAATGGATGGCATGAAGCTCATTCAGACAAAAGCAATCCTGAATTACATCGCAGAGAAGTACAATCTGCATGCAAAGGATCCCAAAGAACGAGTCATGTATGGTCCATAAAAAAAAGTGTAATAAAGTGTTTGTCTTACATCAGAGCTGTATTTAAATAGGTTATTATGCTTTCCTTCAGGATCAACATGTATTCTGAGGGATTGACAGACCTCATGGAAATGATTATGATCCTCCCCTTCACCCCAGATCCCAAACCCAAATTGGACAACATTCAAAGCAAAGCAAAGGAGCGCTACCTTCCTGTGTATGAAAAGGTAAAATAACTGATTCTGTTTTGTTTAAAAACCTGAGTTTCTGCTGATCATTGCTAAAATAGGTGTCATAAAATAGGCTCTGACTGGACCCGTGTACCTGGTGGGAGGAAAACTAAGCCTTGCTGATGTGCTGCTTCTTGAATGCACCCTGATGCTGGAGGAGAAATTTCCAGACATTTTGAAAGACTTCCCCAATATCAAGGTAAACGTGTTTCAACAAAAAATAAATCAACAAGTTCAATGAGAAAGCCAACGCCCAGTGCTGTGAAACGCTCATCTTTTTGTTATTCCTTCCAGTCCTTTCAGGGCAGGATGACACAAATCCCCGCCATCAGCAGGTTTCTGCAGCCGGGCAGCAAGAGGAAGCCGCCGCCAGATGAAAAATACTTGAAAAATGTTGTGGAAGTCTTAAAACTCAAGTTGCCACTTTAAGAAAAACGCTACAAAAGATCTGTTACATTCCTCATTAGGCAGCGTGATTATGATCAGTTACGTCTAAAATCAGTTACATCTAAAATCTTAATTAGTTTAAAGGACAAGCAGCACAATAAGAGTTAAGAGGCAGATAATCATTTACCTCCCTTCTAACTCTTATTGTTAAGAGGCAGGTAAATACGTGAAGATAGACGAGACACCAACACACCAACACAACAACATGGAAAGAACTTCTGTAATCTTCTTTAGCAATAAATACAGTTGACAGAAACACTCGAAGCTGCTGTTTTTTCTTCTGGATAAAACACAACAGTTTTTAATGAATTAAACTTGTTTTAATTTGCTGTTATTAGAAAAATCACAAAAACTCTTTCCTCATCATAGACAGACAAGAATACCAATGAAAATGCTTCAACTTGTTCTTTTCTCAAGTTATAGAAATAAATCCGCACCCTAACAGCACCCGGAGCTCACAGCCGTCTCCTGTAGTGTGGGTTAAGAAATCATGGAAGTTCCCATTCATACACTTGCTCATATGCATGTATTTAAAAAAAAAAATACTGCAGTAAAATTTGATTTAGTCGGCTTAGTGGGAATGTTTCCTGTTTCCAGGGTAAAGGTTGATGTTCTCCCGGTCAGACGAGCAGAAGTAAGAGGCGAAACACCATCAACAAGCTGTAAGACAGACAAAAGCAACTGCATCAGCAAGTTTAACAAATAAATGTCCCAATCCTTGATTTTTGCAACAATTTGTACTGTCTGCTAGCACGTCTGACTCTGACCTTAGCCCTGTCATTATTCCAGCTGGCATTAATTTCCCAGAGTTCTTGTATCTCATTCCCATGATGACTGCGAGAACTCCCGAGGACACTGAAAGAAAGAAAACACCCTGTTATGACACTAGCTGGACACTGAACCTCTACACTCTTGATTGTAGCCGGGCTGCATATAGAGAGCCATACTCACGCAGTGACACCTTGATGTCCTTTGGATCATTCGTTATGTTGTAGGCACCGAAAGCGGATAATCCGCCAAAAACTAGACCGGCCATCAGGGACATCACGCTGCCTGCGGGGAAACGCAAAAATCAATCAGTGTTGATTTCATTTTCAAAACTTTAATATTTAGTTGAGTTTTATGCACAGCTGTGGTCAGAATCTGAATCAGAAATACTTAATTAATCCCGAAGGAAATTATGCTCATCAACCTTTTCTCTTGTATCCCATAAATCCTCCGAAAGCAATGGCTGCAGCATAGCCGAAGCCAATCCAGTCCAACGCCATCGTAAAGCTGAAAACAAAAAAGCAGTGCAGGGTGTCAGGTGGTTAAAAGACACAACTCAGGACACTTATTCAGCTTTAATCTTTACCAAGCACGCGCTCCCCAAAAGAGGTGGGTGGATAAATCTAATTATTGACAGTATCGATATCGGATCGATACTAACATGACAGAATCGATACTTTGTTTCTATCCTCTAAGTTCAGTGTATAGCCACCGATGCATGTTATTATTATTATTTTGTTTTTTTGATTTGTAAATTGATGACAATTCAGCTGATAAGTCATGACATAAGTTAAATTTCATAAGTTAAAAATATCGGTATTGCTATCTACTGCATCCACTTGGTTTTGGATAAATACGCAATTTTGCAGGCACAGCACTGCTCACCAGTGCAGATACTGCACTGCTCCCAAACTATTCTTCATAATTCTTGGGTTTCAACATATGTGAAATCTAATCATATCTACCCACAATAAGATCCCTGGATGTTGCTGTGAGCCTCTGGGATGATTCAACTACAGAAACAATCGCAGCACAAAGCTACAGACGTGCACATGAACGCCTATGCTGGCTACTTTCTTTAAACTGTTGTTAAAACGACTACGTATTGGTGAAGCTTACATAAATTGTTACCGTGGTATGAATCGTGTTGTTGCATATTACATACCTGGAGTCCAGACAAGTGAGCAGCAGTAGCAGCCACAACCTTTGGTCCGAAATTGCGCTTCCTCGTTGACTGGCCGTGGAGATACGTAGAAATGCGTAAATCCCGCGTCATCAGGGGTTGTGAAGCGCGTCTCTCCCGCCGCCATCTTTCTCAGGGGTTGTGGCCGCAGTTATATATCGTATTTCTATGCACAGCTCCCGAATGTTATTGTGTTTATTTATTTATTTATTTTAATGTTATTTATTCATAACGTTTCACACGTTACCGAAGCTGTTTTCTGTACCAATGCAAAGCCAGATTCTAATTTCGGTTAATTTTTAGGTTCAGGTAATTTTTATTGGTGAAAGAGAAAAAATGATTTGTTAAAAATGTTGTTGCTCAGGTAGAAAACTCGTGGACGGAAAGTAGAAGCGGATGATCTCCCTCTAACCCTAGCATCCACCTTTGTCACACCAACCATCTTCCATCAACCCTCTCTGTGGTCCTCTTCTTTTCCTCCTGACTGGCCTGACTCCTGACTTCATCCTTCCACCATCCTTTCTCCGGTAAATCTACTATCCCTCCACTGCAAATCTAATCCTGCCCATTCTGGTCACTCCAGGATAATAATAATAATTTAAAAAAAACGTCCCCCATCTCTTCCTGTCTGTTTGTTAATAAGAAGACTTTGAAAGTACAAAAACATGACTATAAATATGTCTGTCTGTTTTCCATTTTATTCATTTACTTATTTTTAGATTCTTTGGTAAAGACTAATTTTAAGGGGGGAACTTGTCAGTATTTACCTTTCCTGTTCATCTTTGAAGACTTAGTGTCAAATTAAATTTTTACATAAACATTAACAATTTGATATATAAGCGCACTCAACCCTAACATTTAAAATAAATACCTTATTACCTTAATTATCCTGAACATCTTACTTATGTCCAGCTGTCCATACAAGTTCAACATACAGGCAGAGCAAATGAAACCGCTGGAAAGTTAAAAATCCTGACTTCAGGAGGTGCGGCTCTCCCGGATCAATATGGCTGCTGTCTTGAGTACTTCCAAACAAAAAACAGAAGCGACCCCTAGCGGTAACCTCGAGCTAATATTTTGACAACTTTCCCTATCTCTGACCCATTTCTGAGTTTCTAGTGGCAAGTGACTTCTCTGAACTACTATGGCTTTTCACACTTCTAAAAGTAGCCCTTCAGGTCTCTATTTCCTAAAACTGGAGCATATTACAAATGGTAAATGGACTGGTACTTATATAGTGCTTTTTTTTTTTTTTTACTTTACTTGAGCACTCAATGCGCTTTATACAACATGCCTCATTCACCCATTCACACTCATTCATACAAAAGATTTTTTTTCTACACCTCAGTCTTTTAATCTAACATTTAAACACAAAAAAGAAACATAAAATGCAAGATCTGCAATATGATATAAAATATATCTCCCAAAGAAGAGCCCCACTTGTGTCTCCTTCACTGCATTGAGCTACAGAGTCAGGTGTGCTTAATTTTAGGTCTTTCTGTAAATTATTCCATGCTGTTCTCCTCAGATCTGTCAGAACTCCATGCACATCAAAAAGCAAAAGATGGTCTCTCTCCGCTTTAGCCCAGAAGATACAGAGTTCATTTTCTCCAAAAATGGTTTCACATTTTGTTTCATCATATTTCCACTTTGAATGGGTTCATTTTGAATGAGCTTTGGCACAGAGTTGTGTTCATTGATAATGGTTTCTGACAGTGCTCTTGAGCCCATGCAGTGATTTCCATGACAGATTCATTCTAGGTTTTTATACAGTGCCATCATTGGGCCTTATACCATGTCCCCTGTGCGGAGATTTCTTTAGATTCTCTGAATCTCTATATGATATTATGTAATGTAGATGATGAGATATTCGAACCAGGTCTTCCCAATTTATGTTAAAAAATAGATATTCAAAGTTTTTCTTTGTTTTTCTTGCTGAAGGGTGAAACTCTATAAGGGGCCCTTTTTATACCCTTCATGTTTATGATCTGTTGCCAATTAACATAATTGTTTCTTTGTAGTATCACTTTCCCAACTTTTTGTTCCCCCATGCAAAATTCTTTGAGACGTGTGGCTGACATCAAATCAAAAATGAACTTTTTGGAACTGAGGTTGTATTTATACTGATTTAATGTGAAATTTACTGAATGCAACATTTCTAATAGAAACAAAAAAACAGGAGAAAATTCAAAAGTTTTTCTTTCAGTGCAAAATTAGATTAGATCTGCAGTGTATGTAAATGTGTTGCAAGGGCGGGTAGGAAGGGCACGGGGTGAGCAAGGATACGGTCAAAGCTTTTACGGCATTTTAAAGTAAAATCAAACAACTTCTTCTTGATTACAAATCTTGATAATATTAATAAGCTTTATTTGTACACACAACATTTAAAAACAGACTTAACAAAGTACAAAAAGCAGACTTTTCAGAAAGTAAATTCAAACATCAGCCCAAAGAAAACAGATACAGTTAATGTGATGAAACAGAAATAAAGATTCAAGGTTATGACAAATAAACAACACCAATAAAATCACAAAAGCAAGAGCGCAGAAACAATAAACAGAACCAAAAAAAGACCAAAAAAAGAGATGACATCACATACGACACCAATAAAATCTCCTCAGGTAGATCATTCTAGAGTCGAGGGGCTCTAATGACACAGTGATCACCTTTAGAGTGTGACTGTGAAACAGCTGGAAGGCCCCAGCTGAGTATCTAAATTTGCAAAATGGCCCATGAGGAGTCAACATGCTCTGACATGCAGCCAGACCCTGACGCGCTCAGGAAGCATACAGGGAGCCAATAGCAAGAGCTGGATTCATGTCAGGCTATCTGCGAAAACTACTAAGAAGCAAGTGCTTAACCAAAACATGACTTATTTCACACTACATTACAGCCTTCTGCATATTTTAAACTCGTCTTTTTTCAGTAACACCATAACACACGTGAATAATGAGATCACAGAGGAGATAAAAAGCCAACAGATTGTTATCAGGTTTTAGCTGTGTGGAAATTTTCGCTGTGTGTTGTAGTTTTTCAGGGTTTTATCAAAGATAATTGTTTACTCTGGTGTGTTGGGTGCTGTACACATAAAATAAAATCTACAGTAAACTGCACACTCCTACTGTAAAGCTTTACTTTATTTCTCTGTAGTATCATAGTTTCCCAGCGCCGTGGCCCAAAGAACTTACCCACGTCACAGATGGTGATGTGAAGAGTCTGCTCTCTTGGATCTTCAGCAGCATGTCCCAGATGATGCATCAGAACCAAACAGGCACATCAGAAAACTTGTGACTGAAGGAGAGGACTTTGTCATGAAGAAGAACTACAGGAGTGGTGGAAAGAAACTTGGGGTGAAGTTAGACAAGAACAAAGAAATGAAAAAGGAGGACGAGAAGACAAAACTGAAGGGTGAGAAGAAATTAGAAAAGGTACTGGGGATTAAAAAAATGCAGGAGATGAAGTAAGAAATTTAACAAAAACTTGATGAAAGGATGAGAAAAGGTTGGATGATAAGAAGAATTAGCAGTATTAAAAGTAGCATTAAAAGAAAAAGGAGTGACTTGTGTTCTTTCAAGCACAGGGTATGCAGGCAGAGCTGCAGAACAAAGAAAACAAAGTGCAAAGAAAGGGGGAAAGGAAAGTCAAAGGGAGGGAACAGGCTGAGCAGACAGGAAAAAAAAGTAAGAGAGTAAAAAAACAAAAAAGAAAGAGTTAAAATAAGAAAAGGTGACAAAAGAGAAAATAAGGACCAACACAAACAGAGAGGAAAAGGAGGAGAAAAGAGTTCAGAAGCCAGAGAAGAGGAGAAGGAGCTGGCTTCAGGAACTGGATCTGAAGCGTGACTGTGCCAAGTGATGGTGAAGGTAAAGACTTGCCTTTCTGCCTCCCCCTTCCCCTGATCCACCTCCCCCCTTTATAGGGGTGTTTGCAGGATTTAAATGGGGGAAGAGAGGAGAGCCAATAACAAGGCAGAAGGGATCATGGGAAATCAGAATATTTCATGAGAAATTAAAAACAGAATTTAGAAAAAACTGGTGCAGAAAACTTAGGACATGTTTTAAAAGACACTATGTAAAACCAGGCATTGCCTTAGTTTATGTTGACCAACTGATCTGCAAAAAAAATAAATTAGAGCCAGGACCCCCTCCCCTCCTCACTCATCATCATCTCCATTGTTCCCTTTCTCTGCCCACCTCCTCCTTTATCTCAGCCCTCTGTTGACCATCCATCACCAATCATTAAAAACTAAACAAACATCATCAGGTCTGTTTCTGCATGATGTCGTTACTCTGAATAAACACAACAGGTTAAACCACACAGCAGACCGACTGCATCTCATTGTTGAGCTGGTGCTTATCTCACTAATTTCAGAAATGCCTGCCGTTTGTGAGTGTTATTGATATTAATGCATTCCCAGGCTTTTACTCTCCAAGCTATATGCCAAACTTAACTTCAGTCACTCATGCAGTTGGGAAGAATCATTTGTATGGAGGGCTGTGAAAGGGCCTAAGACAGAAGAGGCTGTCTACAAAACTTTGAAAGGCAGTTTAAACACCACAGCCTACCTGAGTATTGTTCCTGACCATGAGAAGGAATAAAGCATAATGTATTTACATAATACAGAGGCAGAACAGTATGCATCTTCTACGTATATCTGATATCAAACTTATAATCAAAGCAGTAAGAGCAACAGAGAAGAGACAACTTGCCCAGGAAAACCACTTTATTTCATTCTCACCCCCCAACTTCCATAACATACACGCATTAAAGGTTTCACCATTTAATAATAGTCCTCAAGTGTAAATCAATGCATTCTTAGAGGAAAATAAGCCACTATGAACTGTAGACAGTGTTGCCGCATGCTGCAGTGAGCAGCAGCTCCAGCAGAGAGCGTCTGTGCAGTCACCTGGCGGAAAGAAAATAGAGCCACTGTGGCGCTCTGTGAGACGGCCGAGGACCGACTCCTCCAAAGAGAAGGCACGCATTTCCAAAAACAGTTGGCATTTAATACACTGTCTACACAGAGTTTCCTGATGAGTTACAGTCAGAGCTCGTCTGGA